TCACTCACGGGCCTGTTTGCGTTGGAACAGACTGTTTTTTTTTTTTTTTTGATGGTATCTGGGTTGCCTGCTAGCCAGAGACTCTGAATAAATAGGATGCAATGAGACACAAGAATAGAACACAGCTGATGGTTCAATTATAAGATATGCCATGAATTTGAGGCCTTAAGGTGGTAGCAGGACAACATTTCGCTCCTTTCAAAACTATTTAGGGAAACATTACCTCAGTCCAATCCAGAAGTTTGGAACTTGTTAAAAGACTGTGTCAAAGGAAGTTAACCTGAGTTTATGAGTCAAACTCTAAAATCACTTACGCTCTGTTTATAATTCCACTGCTAATTAATCTCTTAGCTAGTGCTTGTTCCAAACATGCACACAGGATTCAAAGCAATCATTAAGAAGCACAAGAACGCACAACATTGCAGCACAAGAGGTGGTGAGTGAAATCTACAAAGCAGAAAGCCAACTAGAGGAACTGATAAAACAGCATAGTAAAACAAGTATGACTTATCCAAGAAGCAGTGCAAGAAAATACAGATCTCTTCATAACTGTGTCCTAGCTGAACTGCACAAAAAAGAAAGACTACAGCAGTGGCTCCAATCCCCAGCTAATTGGACTGCTTGAGCAGGACTAGGCTTCACCCTACAGCACTTTATTCAAAGAAAAACTAGTGATGCAGTTCCCAAAACTTACTGAACAATTCATGGAGAAAGAAGGTGTAATGGGTGAAAATCAGAGCTCTGTCATGTTGCTGAATAGCACAATAACCACATATGTTCCAGACAGTCGTTTACAAAGTTTGCAGGAATTTCCCTTAAGTAGTTTATCATTCCATTCTTCATATCCTTCCTTTGAAACAGGAAGGGCTAAAGTTCCCATAGATTAAGGTTACAATTTCTACAAAGCTCCACAGGATTAAACTACTAGTTCATTGCGACTTACTGACTTGTACAGCTTGCCATATAAAATGGCAACATTACCTAATGAGCATGTTTAGCTAAAAGATAAGATAACTATATCTCTGACATTAATAGTACTGTCAAAATACTTTGACTAAGTCTTTTTTTCGAAAATACAAAATGTTTTGTAATAGGCAGAAATAATTATATTGCTCTATTTACCAGTACACTGAAAAGATGTTCACTTTTTCCCTATTGCTTCGCAAAAAAAGGACCATGTGACCTACTGACAGAATAAAAGTACATTAAACAACTAATGAAAGAGAAGAATTTCCTTTTTGTTGCTTTCATAAGTGCTGCGGTAGTTAAGTGTAAGAAGTGTGGCAGTGTAACATAACCAAATAAAAGATGAATCAAAAGCCATAGTATCGTAACACTAATATTTCACCAAAGGTGGTCAATATCTGTGCCATACTGGTTGTTTCAGTATAGTCTAATGCACAGGACTAAATTTCATTCCACACTGTAACTGGGGAAAAATAGTTCCTGTGAGTACATTTTAGGTGAATATAATCCTCCCACACCAAACAAATTGCAGTCTAGTCCAATCCATGTGCTTTCTATTATAAAGACACTAAAACCTTTCCTAAGAGAGTGGGCTGTGCACTACTATTATTTGCCACAGTGACTTTTCAGGCTGCACACACACTCATCAGAGTCAACATTAGGATGTGCCACAGCGGATCGAAAACTTTCACAAATATAAATGCAAAGAACATGAACAACCCCAAGTATCACCTTAGATGGGAGAGAACATAACCTAGAGAAAAATAGCAGACTGGGTGAAGTTCATATATAGAAATAACTGCCTTCCATATACTGTATATTCATTTATTTTCTCACAGTTTGCTGCTAACATAAACCTTAGGCTACCTGACAATATCTGAGAGGATTTTAAGCCACGTTCATTGATGTTCATAATCTTCACTGCTAATGTTAGCTCATACATATGATACATAGCATGTACAGTATATTTGGGCTCTTATCTGGTACATTTGGTCAAGATACTGTATGGCATGGGTGCATGGACTTGGGACAAATCTGAACCCTATATGTTTTGTCATACCTACAAAATTAGCAATTGGCATTTCTCTATTGGATCATTTTTTGCATTGGGATATATGGCCCATATACAGTATGGCCACAAATGAGTGGGTATGGCAAACCAAAGAAAGTGTCTGATTGGCTGTTGAAAAGTCAAATCTACTCTGTAGTTGAGTGTGGGGATCATGTGGCATTCAGTAACTCAGCCTAGCCCATGCTAATTTACTTCTTTTAGAAAAAAATGTCTTCGGTCATGGCGCCACAAACTATTTATATGTATTTATTAATACTATCATTTCTGTTAAGAATGCAGACAAAAAGAAGCAGGGGTAGTGAGTAGTTGGAAAATAGACATGAAGTAAAACAGTTTTGGAAAGAATAAGTGGCTTTTTTTATTCCTTGTAAATGTCATCAAGAGGAGAGTTTAAAAAAAAAAAGTTTGTAAACCTGTCAAGCTAGCTTTTGTTGGCAGACTAGCATCAGCAACCTCTGAAGCCTTCACCTCGGAGACTGGAGTGTGTTAAAGCACTATAAGCAAAGTTACTTAACATATTGTTTCCTCAGTTAGCAGGTTTTCAGTACAATTATTCTATTTGGGCTGACTCACAGTAATTAGGTATATATATATATATATATATATATATATATATATATATATATATATATATATATATATATATATATATATATAATTATAATACTTGTTGTGTTTATTGTTTTTTTTCCAGGGTCCAAAAGTTCATGTGAAGGAGGCACACAAAGACCACGATGAAGACAATAGGGTGGCAGTGGAGGAAGAAGACCAAGGGGCAAGTCAGAAAGAAAACAGTGAATGTGAATAAGGAATTTGGAACATCCAAGCTATATATATATAAAGTCGAGACATAAGAAATCCTGTAAAATGCTCTGTCTGACCCTTGCCATTCATTTACATTATATTTGTAATTCATATTAAAATGAAACAAAGCACTCAGGTTAATCAGCCTTGATACTTTGCTGTTTCACCTGTGACAAGTCCTTTGTAAATGCTTTCTATTTGCAGATAAATGGAAGCAAAACCCAAAGACCTTCAACTTAATGGCTTTGATTACAAGTCTGATGGATTCTGTATTCACTCTAAAGGATGAAGGAACCGTCATGTTGATTGAACATATGAAAAGGAGCACTATCTTGGACGTTGTCCTCTCTCAGCCTTCCTAAGGGCTGCATGTTTATATGTACAGACTCATGCAAAGATTAATTGCCTGGTGGCCAAAAGATGCAACCAGTCTGCTCTCTACAGCTTCATTAAAGCCAGAGAGTAGAATGAAGATTGATTACATTTTACCCCATTCCATAAAAATTGAGCCAAGTCTCCCTTTCCATGGGTTTCATCACTCTGCTTTACCATTCTGCTACTCAAGGGGGAAAATCCTCAGTACTTGTTTGGATACTTTTCATGAATAAATCATACTGTTCAAATTGAAATTGGATTCAGTCCCATATGCAAAGGAAATATATTTGCATATATTTTCAAAATGTGTTGATAGAATTTGAAATATATTTACATATATTTTTATTTACATATGTGTATATATTACAAAAAAAATGACAAACACACATCTTAAACTATAAGCAATTTATGACCAATTTCCACCATCACCTCTCACTCTCTGCCCTTTCCTTACCACTTACTCACAGTCTATGGCATGCCCTAGCATAGCTAAGATGTGTTCAAACACTGATTATTCTGGGCTCAATCTCATTACAAACATTTCCACAGCAAACCCTGGCAGAAACCCTGACAGACCTGCCGCTTAATCGCTGACAAATGCTTTTATTAAGACTCCACTTGGCCCTGCAGTTGTGCCCCTTCAGAAATCCTACATCCAACGCAAAATGGTTTATCCGAAACAGGCTGCAGGGTGAAAACAGATGGACTGATGGTTATTACTGTCCTCGGCTCACCCAAGATAAACTGAGAACAAATGAATTAGCATCTCAGCAGAGATGCAAGCATATCTAAAGAACACACACTTTACACTGAATCTGAAAAAAAAAATTTATGTATATATATATATATATATATATATATATATATATATATATATATATATATATATATATATATATTATATATATATATATATATATATATATATGTGTGTATATATGTGTGTGTGTGTATTGATCCTGGATAATTGATGACATTATTATTATTATTATTGTTATTATTATTATTCTATTATACAACAGTCCTGTTGCTGTTGCTTGATTCTGATTGGTCAGAAGGTGTTGACTAATATTCTATAACAGCACGTTTCTTGCTGTAGTTCCGGCTACAATATTTATATGAATGCGCTCTCTGTAATATGATAATCGATTTTATAGTAACAACTTACCTAGGGACTTGTATGGTGGACACTCCACATAAACATATTTTAAAATGCATGTAATTGCTGGTATGGTGAAGTTGATATGAAGAGACCTTTATTTAGCATTTTTGGAAGGAGTCTCCAGTGTCAGCGCTTTGTAACAGTCAGCGGTAAGTTTTCCAACGCTGGAAAGTCTTCAGGACAGAGGATTTTGCAGTTTTTCGATAACATGTAAAGCTGTGTTTTTTTGTTTTTTTTTGTTAAACACAAGAAAGAGAAAATAGAAGAGGCTGCTGAGGGAACAGTTGTTTATAGCCGCTTTAACATAAGTGATAACAGTAACCTGTTATGTGAATGTGCCACAATGTTGAATGTAACTATAAATGAATAGAAAGTATGACATGTCATACGTTAATTAATAAAAATTTCTCTGGTTCATGTCAGGCTGCATCATACCACCCAGTTTTTGAATATTTTCCTATAACAACATGCCCCATCGTGGATCATTGGTCCGCGTATTTGATTTGGCACAGTTTTTATGCCGGATGCCCTTCCTGATGCAACCGTCCCCAATTTTATCTGGGCTTGGGACCAGCACTGAGAGCACACTGTTGCACGCAACCCCAGTGGCTGGGGTTGCAGCCCCTTGGTCGGGACTCGAACCCAGGCCGCAGCAGTGAGAGCGCTGTGGCCTAACCACTAGTCCTCCAGGGACCTGTCATCTTCACAAATATATGGTAATGAAAAAAAAAATCAGTGATTTTATTTATTTTTTAAAGTTGACAGCATATTATGTGTATAAGTGTGCTTAGGAAGGTTTTTTAAATTCCACTGACACATCCAAAAACACAGGTTGTAACTATTTATAAGATAACAAGAAAACAGACATGGCAGGCACGCTTAATTCCACAGTTTTAGTGAATGGGGGATTATCAAAGGATTACATTCTCCCTGTTATGCAATTATGCTGGAAGGTCAAGACAGTGCTGGTGCAAATATGGCAGAGAGCTGGTGATGTGGATTTGCTTCAGCAAGCAGACAGCTGGTAATAAACAGGAAACCAATGCATCCTAGTGCATTTCTGAACATTTCTGAACGATCAGCATACATTTTTGTGAGAATATATCTCTCTAGGCTCAAGAACAGATGTTTATTAATACTACATATGACATGGCTGAATGTCTTACCTAAAAATGAATAATATCTGATTAAGTGTCTTTATGTGAGGAATGACGTCATGATGTTTCTAATATATACACTCACCGACCTCTTTATTACAGCTGCTCATTCTTGCAATTAATTATTCAACCAGCCAATCATGTGTCAGCAACACAATAAATACACAGTAAAATGCAGATACAGATCAAGAGCTTCAGTTAATGCTCACACCGAACATCAGATTGTTGGTGCCAAACAAGCTGGTTTGTGCATTTCATAAACTGCTAATCTCCTGGGATTTTCATGCACAACAGTCTATAGAGATTACACAGAATGCATTGTTAATTAGACAGGTCAGAAAGAAATGGTCTAACTGATTTGAGCTGACAGGAAGACTACAGTATCTCAAATTACCACTCTTTACATCTGTGGTGAGCTGAAAAGCATCACAGAATGCCTACCATGTCAAACTTTAAGGAAGCCTTGAAAAAGAGCAGGCGATGTTTTTTCCATTCTGTAACAGTCCAGTTTCAGTGAGTATGTACCCACTGTAGCCTCAGATTGCTTTTGTTGGCTGACAGGAGTTTAACATGATGTGGTCTCCAGCTGTAGTAGCTTGTCTGCCTCAAGGTTTGACGTGTTGTAATGTTTGAAGAGAACAGTAACTGAAGCTCTTGAGCTGTGTCTGCATGGTTCTGTTCACTGCGCTATTTCCATGTGATTGGCTGAATGGATAATTGCATGAATGAGCATGCAATTCATATTATTTAATATGTCATATGTAAACAAGTTTTATCCCATCGCTTTAAATGTTACAAGAGCACTGATGTTGACTTGTGCCTGTATTGTCTACAGCAGCTAGGTACTTTCCTCTGCAAATGTTAAGTGCTATGTCGTCTTGACAGCCTACTTAGCAGGCAAGTAAGTGACTGAGTCATATTAGACAAACAAAAAAAAATACTTCAAACAAAATAGGTATTATATTTTTAAAAGATCAGATGTTCTTCTCTGTAGAAAACAATGAATACCTTTTTAAATCAATAAAAATTGTTTTAAGTATTAACTTTAACGGAGCATGCACTGCTTGAATGGTGGCTTATGTAGTGTGCCCTCTTTTAGCTATTTAGAATGCTAAGCTTTCATCAGACCACATATTGCATTAGAAAATCATAAATCTTGCACACTAAAGGTTCTTCAGTTTGTTTTCGTTGTAGAATCCTACAACAGAGGGTTTCTCTTTTAGAAAGGGTTTTGCGTTAAAGTCATTTAGATAGCTATGACCATCCAAAGAACCACTGAGAAGCCCCTTTTTCTAACCGTTTACTGAGTCTGGATATTCATTCACTATTTCTTGCTTTAAAAATATTAAAAGAAAGTGAGTTCTCTGGAAACCGACTGTAACAAATCGCTGAACCGCAGCAGATGGACAACCAGAAGGGAGATGAAAGTCTGGCATTCTGGTGCGATTCCTATAGGTCAGGCGATGCTTCCTTAGCCTGGGTATTGATCAGGTTCACCTCCCTCTAGTCCAAGATAAGCATGATGATAATGAATGGTGATACAGTACTGATAGATGGAAGCTTATTGATTAACTCAATGAGTGCTAATTAGAGGGGTATGCTTATTTTTCCTGCCTTCCTACCTTCGACTTCCTCCATCTCCATACACTTCCTTAATGGAATACTGCATGAATGCATAAATCTTACAAAAACCTTCACATATAATAAAGCTTTAAATATCAGCGTCTTTAAAATGCAAACACATTTCACTGCATATATAGAAATACAGGTCTGATTACACATTCAGAAGAAAAAAAGGTCTCATTATTAAGGAAAAAAATCAGTGTCATAGCGGAGTACAGGAAACAGTACAGCAAGCGACTAACTGAAGTGCTCTCATAAAACTTGCACATATTGGCACAGCAGTTATCCCTTACAGCATGTAGACTTTAATTACTCTGACATGTGAAGTGCAATACTAAACGTGTGGGTGGTGATCCAGCAGCTCAGGCCAGCAAGTGTGTGTGAGGCTCACCAGTGGTGGAAGAGATGTTAACGTCGATGCTGATCTCTGGGATGCCCCCGCCTCTGAGCGACGCCACGCAAGTGTAGGTGCCAAAGTCGGTGAACTTCAGATCAATGATGTCCAGGTTGGTGGTTCCTGGGGAGATGTCAGGGTCAGTCTGGGTAATGACCATGCGTTCAGAGCTGCGCAGAGCTCGGCCATTCTTCAGCCAGCTGAACTGAAGCTCCTCAGGGGGTGTTGCCTCCACCTGGCACGAGATCTTCACTTCCCGGCCAATCTGAATGTTGTCGTCATTGTGGTACGGGTCAGGCGTGATCCAAAAGCGGCCCTTTTTCAGCGCTGGAAAGAAAACAGGTAAACAGTAATTACCATGTGAATGAGTCTCGTGAGTGCCTCGGTAATACCTGTTTTCTTTTTATTTTGAGCTTAAATGCTTTACAAACTACTTTTGTCAACACCACAATGTTTCTTGAATCGCAAATGGTGTCAAGAATCGTCAATGCAATGAATTTGTACAATTACTGCCAATGTATATGACTATTCCGGGACAATATGAGCTAATCAGCACATTAATATGAATAAATATTTCAGCCTGAGTCTGAGTTTAGTGGGTTTGTTTTGAATTCATGCTAATCTGCAGATATTAATCAAGTTACAGATACATTCAGATAACAATCTAAATTAATTTCCTTTGCAGGATGTTTGTATAGCTTGGATTGTGTGTTTGCAATTTAACTCGCAAACAAAAGAACAATCAGAGCCACTGAATCTTTTCATCTACTCTCCTGTGACATTATCAGGTTAAAACAAGAAGGAGAGAAAAGAGGAAAGTGAACATAAAAATGACCTGTCAAATAGAGGAAATTGAAAAAGCAAAACACAACATGAGTGAATGGCACCTCAAATGCTATATGAGATCTAATGCCTTTGTTTAATATCGATCCCCTCCTGAAAATAGAACTGCTCGCTAATTCATGTTGTAATAATGTTGACATGTCCCTACAGAAGACTTCAATTTGTAAGAGTAATTAATTTCCACCCTGGTCCCATGATACAAAATGATGTCAATGAACCTTAATACAATGGGCGACAATGACCTTTTTCAAATTAAATAAAAGGAATTTGAGGCTCTTGTCAGTTAATCATGTGTTATTGGCTGGACCGCGGAGAGTTATCTCAGGCTATAGAATTTAATTTTATTCAAATTAAAAAAATTCATCACAATAAGGAAATCGATATCAACAACAACAATCATATTTCATGGTACCAATCAGGATTGCAGTTTAAAAACAGTTGCAGCACTGAAAACAGCTGTAAAACTTTCCTGTCCAATTATCTTGCATTTAACTGATATAACATATTGATATGATACTGATTTTGCTGGCCTAATATTTTTTAACTTTTTGTCTTGAGTATGTTCAGATAAATCATATTAAATGTGAAAGATGCTGTTAAATTTGTGCGAGTAGAAAACAGTACTTTCAAATGGGATATTAAATGAATGTCCACCCAGAGTTTAAACATCAGATTCTCAAATGTTCACTTGTCAGGTCACCTTTTTAAAGTACAAAGCATCCAGGCCTCTTCACAAAGGCAAGGACACGGTGGTGATGATATGTGTCATGGATATGCCGGAACTAGCATTAGACTACGATTCCCATCAGCCACGGCACCGCACATGAGCATGTCACATGATTGGTTACACCTGATTCACATTTTTGGTTAATTAGCACTAGTATTTAAGTCATGTTTTGCACAGCTCCAGGGTCCCAAGTTCACTCTTGAGCTCGGGTGACTGTCTCTCTGCATGTTCTCTGCATGTTCTCTGCATGTTCTCTGCATGTTCTCTGCATGTTCTCTGCATGTTCTCTGCATGTTCTCTGCATGTTTCCTCTGGGTTTTCTGGTTTCCTCCCAAAAACATGTACAGTACGGCTGTGAATGAGTATGTGAATGTGTGTGTGCATTGTGCCCTGCATTGGACTGGTATCCCATCCAGGGTGTATTCCCACCTCAGTGTTCCTCTGGATCTACTGCATCCCTGATAAACCCAGGATAAAGCAGTTACTGAAGATGAATCAATGAAAATGTGCAAAACAAGACAACCCAGGGATCTTCAACTTAAATCTGTGAGAGTAAAGCTACATGTAGTCTCATGCATGACTGAATGACTGAACTAACATGACTAACAACAGGTACATTTTAATGCTTAACCATTAATGATTCGTTCATTAATTCACATCAGCTTCAAATTATTTATGTTTTGTTTCGCACTGCCATTTCACATTACCACTTTTGAGTTTTAGCACCACAGACTTTGAAGAGATGAGACATCTACTTTGAACTTAAAGCGGAGAATAAACACATACTTTTGTGTTCAATCATCTTTTAACATTCTGCTTTCATTGCTAAAATGTCTTGTCATCAGTTTGCTAAAAATGCCAAAGAGGGTAAATGAAATGAAAAATATATAGAATAGAATATCTATGAAAATGTTTTCCTTTCTTGACGAGTGTCTGCTACACTAGAGTC